TTAGAAGCACTTTTGAATAAGTGCCACACTTCAATTCATTATTTGCACCATGTTTGTTTACGAATCATAAACTACAGGCGCTTCTATATTCAAGCGCCACATAGTGAGAAAAATGTATGGAATTGGAGGCGCTTCTGTGTCCACAAGCGCCACACGTATGATCAGATGGAATTTCAAATTTAGAGACGCTTTTCGCCAAAACGCGCCGCACGCACAGCGAATAAAATATTAAAAAAAAAAAATTGGAGGCGCTTTTTCTCAGAGAAGCGCCTCTAAAAACACGTTGCGGCACTACTCATTAGAGGCGCCATAAAGCGCCGCACGTGTTAAAAAAAAGTGCCTCTAAACAGCGTTTTTGCACCTGTGAAGCTTGATGCAGATTATTCTTAATTGAGGTTTTTTAATAGATGTCGCCAAGTGTCAAATAAAGGAGAATAGAGTAAGTGGGTGTCCAAGTTCTTGCAAATGCGAAGAAGAGTACGTGTGAAACATGAGGACTTTTAGGGATTTTGACGGAGTTTCTAGAGCTGTTTGGCTTGCCACTTAAAAACTTCCGTGAAAATAAATTTTTGATGAGTTAGACTTGTAGAGAGACTTCTGAAAACGGGTAAAATAATTAAAATACCTCAAACTTTGAAGGGGTATGAGATGAGCATCCCAAACTTGCATACAAACAACAACATCCAAGCCTTAGTTCCAAACACACTCCAAACTTGCATATGTAATTTAAATACCCAAACTTTAAATAAAAAGTTATTTTAGCACCATAGTGAAGTATTATTTCTTTGAAAAATGTAAACTTATGGTGTTAATTGCATAATTTAAAATATTTTAGAATTCATGAAGGCACAATTAGCATTATAAACTTCCATTGCAAAATAAATAACATTACCTTCAATCTATATAATTGCAACACTTTTACTTTTCTATTTCAAATTATGCAATTAACCCCATAAATTTACATTTTTGAAAGAAATAATACATGAAAATGGTGCAAAAATAACATTTTATATAAAGTTTGAGGTATTTAAGTTACAAATGCAAGTTTGGGGTGCTCACCTCACACCCCTTCAAAGTTTGGGGTATTTTTAATATTTTTTCCTCTGAAAAAAAAGAGTAGATGGTGTGCGAAAATTTCCAATCCAGCTCATCAATGTATGTAACTTATTCCATTGGAGTAAGTAACTTATCTTCAATGTCTATTTATGTGATGTGACAATGCATTTTGAGTAATTCATTCTCCCGTTAAAAATGCTTATATAGCATCTTCAATGTCACAATGTGCACGATGTACATGTGGAATGAAGGATATCGACACACAAATGTTTGTAAGTGAAATATCTCTCTACTTATTTTAACGTACTTACATGTTTTTTATAAGTCTTTTTCCGCAGTGTCAATAAAAATGTCTACATTTATACATTGTGGTTGACATTGTTACCAAAACTATACATATATAAAACCTTGAAAGAAAGAGAAAGAAATGTCAATAATTTATTTTTATGCGTCTATCACTTTCATGACACATGTGCGCCGTGCAGATTATTGTATTTGAGATGCTTTTAGCTTCTCAACTGTTGTATATTTTTATTCACTTTACTAAACCATAGATGGTCTAAGAGTATCTTCGTCCATGTTGATCAAATGTAACATTTTTTATGGTTTATCATTGTCATTTCATTGCCACTTAAAAATATACTACCTCCGTTCTCTTTTAAATGCAACATTGGACTTTTTACACTATTCACACTAGTAATCTGACCCGTGTGATGCACGTCATGAGATATTTTTATTATTATTGTATTGTAGGTAATAACTTCCAAGACACTGTATTCATTGACGACACTAAACAATGTAACGCAATAAAGATACCAAAAACGCAATTGACAAAACACATCTTTAATATTATGGTGAACTGAGATTACAAAAATTACGGGAAAGTAAAAAAAAAACATCACACAAATATATTCCGAAAAGTGAGACTGTAAATATCCATTTCAATCAACTCTAAACGTTGTTGAAAACTTCTTTGTATACCACATTTTGAGTTTTGTTAGTGGCTCGTCCATCATCACCAACAATTAAAATTTTCAAACCACAACGGTTGGTCACCCTAGAAATTGCAACATACAACTGTCCGCGAGTAAATACAGGTTTTTGTAATAACAACCCAACACGGACAAAGATTGACCTTGACTTTTATTTATCGTCATCGCGTATGACGTCATTACAGGATATTGGCGCCGCTGAAATTTGAAAGGTAAGGAAGTATCCGATGGCGTCAAGGACAATCTTGGAATTAGGACTTTTTGTCCGGCACTCACACCAGTTAAAATCTTCCCCTCCAAAACATGATCACCAAGCCTCGTTAGAATAAGACGTGTACCATTACACAACCCCATAGAATGGTCTATATTCCTCAAAAGCATCACCGGGGTCCCAACCTTTAACGTCAACTCATGATTCGGCACACCATACAATTTTATACTATTTAAGAACTCAGGAGTGTGCAGCTCTGCCATAAGATCTGTTGTGGAGTCCAACTTAGAAACAGTGTCAGAACTAAGATATGTCCTTGAAACTTCGCCAACATTAAGCGCCAACATATAAGCATTAACAGCTTCAACAACAGCCAGGGTGGGTGCCAAAATTGCACGATCTTGCAAACAACTAACATCTCCTGCAGATCTAACATATTCTGGAAATATGCTTTCTACGATCGCAGCTATAGGATCTCCGTCTGTGTGTATCAATAGATCGTCAGGAATAGGAATACACACATGACCATCATTGAAGTCACCAGCAACACCATCACCAACGCTAGCAATCCAATCCGAAAAGAGCTTCAAATCGTAAGAATCTGATGGATTTGTCAAGTTTTGCAAGCGCATATTTTTTGTGAGTCGGAGGACAATACATTCTGACCAAAGATATGATGAATTAATGGTTGCATTCACGACATCCTGCCTACTCCCACGCGGTATAACCGGCAACACCTGCCGAAAATCACCCCCCAAATACCATTGTTTTTCCACCATATGGAAGAGTACCTCTATTTGGTTTGTGGAACCGCATACTGTCCCTCATACTCCGGTCCAATGCCTCAAAACAAAATCTATGTAACATTGGAGCTTCGTCCCATATAATCAACTTACACCGTACAATTAGCTTGCCAAGCGGGCTTCCCTGTTTAATATGACACGTCGAGTCTTCGTTAAGACTTATCGGTATTGCAAATCTAGAGTGAGCAGTGCGTCCTCCCGGCAACAGAAGAGATGCAATACCACTCAATGCAACATTAAGGACAATCTCACCTTTAGACCTAATGGTTGCAGAAAGGGTCTTCCACACAAACGTCTTTCCTGAACCTCCGTAGCCATAAACAAAATATATACCACCAAACTCTTCATCAACAGACCGCATTATTGTGTCATACACTTGCAGTTGCTCATCCGTAAGAGAATTGAACAACGTAGAATGTTCCGCTTTCATTACGCTTTGATCATAACACAATTCTTCAAATATAAGTCTGTCATTAGAAGATAAGAGTGAATCGAGAATGACTGTAGGCATCGGGGGGTAATCTCGCAAACTTTTCCCACGGGTTTGTAACAACCTCTCCATTTCTTCCAGAGCAAACCTCACTAATTGGTCGTCAGAAAGAATAAGATCTGTAATATGAGAAATAGTTAGTTTGAGGGAAAATGAAAAGTAACGGAGAAAAAAAATTAATATCTAGGATTAATAAGTAGGTTTGACAATCATAACCTGGATGTTGTAATATTCACCTCCGCGTATATTGAATGTCATCAGCCATGAAAGAACAACATTTTTCCCAAACGTACTCAGGTCTTGCCATTGACTCTGTCCATAACAATATCACAAATAGAATTCTCAAACAAAAGGCAGATGAGAAATGGCTTGCCTCAATAAAAGCATCAATGAATTCTTTATCGTCGCCGAGCAAGCCCAAAGCATAACATGCATCACGAAAAGAATCGTAAATGACACCATTCAAGGTTCTCAAGTCCTGATGACTTGTTGCACCACGAACATGATTTAAAAGACATCGGAGGTAATAAGATTCACCACTGTCGGGATGGACATGATAAACTCTACCAATAGCAAACTTTTGTTTTCTGGGAGACCATTCTCTTGTCTTTTTTTCCAAACAAACTTTTGAGGAAACTCTGCATATGTCAAAAGTCTTGCTTCCGGGTACTTCTTACTGACCTTGACTGATTACACCACTCCACATTCATATGGGCTCCATATTTCATTAATAAATAACAGTTCGTATACCATACGACCGGCCCACTATGAGCATAGTACACCCGCCACCAATACGACGTAGTTCTAGCAGTTGGCCTCATTATTTTTTATTTCTCTCTTTTTTAAAAATGGTAATAACTTTTTTATTTTTGATCCGATTTTTATAAAATTTATATCAACATTTTTTATTTTTCATGATCTTTCAAATGAGACCAATATTGCCTATGTAATTTTAACATATTAACATTTGCGTGTACAAATATGTAACTTTACGTGTTAAAATATGTAACTCATGTTCAGTCAGGCCAAATGCAACTCGTGTGTAAAAATATGTAACTCTACGTGTATAAATATGTAACTTTACGTGTAAATATATGTAACTCGCGTTCAGGCAGGTCAAATGCAACTCGTGTGTATATATATGTAACTTGCTCATAAAAAGATGTAACTCGCTCATAAAAAGATGTAACTCAATTATCAAATGTAACTGAGGCCACTGATTGTAACACCCCGTTTTTATGAGCTTGTTATATTAATCATTTTCATTTGTTTTAGTCAGTTAAATAGATTACTTATATGAATAATGTGATATTCTTTTACCATGTTTGTATGTGGCAGATAACGTTGACCAGTAAGCTCCAACAATGTTAAGTGAAGAAATAATTAATAGTATATAAGTGTTTTTTTTTTTTGTTAGTATATTTTGAAGTGAGGATTTAATATTCAGTTTGGGTTAAGAGCGTATTTTTAGAAGACTAAGACACCCAAATCAGTTATTTAGCCCAAATCAGTATTTTACCTAGAATCCCTAGGGAGATACTCTGTATATATCATCATAAAAACCCTCCAGCCAGCAGTCCGTTTTTCTTCCCCTGGCCAGCAGTCCGTTTTTCTTCCCCTGGCCAGCAGTCGGACGAAGCGTCTAGCACTACCATCTGTTTTCATCTTAAAACTGGTAAGTCTATATTGTTCACGCCTCTCATTTTGATTCTTCCTAAAAAGATTTTGATTTGTGAGAGCTTTATTACGTACTAGTTGCCAGGGATGTCTAATAGGGATGGGATTTGAAATTTAACCCAAGCAAGTTTTCCTTGCATAAAACTTCTAGTTGTGGAGTTGTCAAATTGAACACAACCGTTTTACATTTTATCCAAACCATCGGTTTATACAAGGGAGAAGTATTAGGCTGCACTTTTTCGTAAACTGCTTGATGCTCTGTTTTAAAAACAAATCTGGATAACTTCGTTACTTAATTTTCTACCGTGTGTAAGGGTCATATTTTCGATAAGGTCTGGTTTTGAATTTAAGTATGAGTTTAAGTTTCCCAGAGCTATTATTCATATGGTGAAAAAGGATTTTAACTTCTAATTAAAGTTCGTACTTAGACAAACGTATTTGAAGAATTCTGATGGCAGACTAAATGACTAATGGAGCAGAAGTCTATTTCATTCTGTTTATTATTTTCCTAATTTAGAAAATTAATTTACTCTTTAAAAAGAAAACATTAGAGCTGGTTCAAGTCGAAGTAGACTTTATCAACAAAAGTTCAGAATAGGACAATATGGGACACTGTTGGAATTTTCTGAAAGGATAGAAAGTTCTAATTAAGTTATTACGTGTGATTAAAGAATTAAGAGGGAGCTTACCGGAAGACGTTATCAAGGTGCCACACTTATCTGAATATTTTGAGTTCAGCTGCTAACAGGTAAGTTCACTACCACCTGTACATGTTTGTTCAACCAAATGCAAGAAAGAAGTCTGGTTGATTTTTAATAGATAATTTTAGACTATTTGCTATTATGTGAACTATGTGAATTATGTGATGAGTTATGTTATTTGCTAGATTAAGTTATGTTTATTATCTGGCATAGTCAAGATTTGTCAGTACTTTTGTTTCAGAATTAATGATGTTTTTAGTCAAACGTCACCATAAAAAGAACTAATACTTAAAGTGAAAGATCAGGTGATATGTACTCGGGAACAAGTTCCCTCAGTTTATCAGTTATCAGCTTATCAGTTTCAGAGAGTCCGATATGTTTAGTGGGTCGCTCCCCTGAGCTGTCGGATTGGCGCCTTTGAGTACATATCACGGGCCCACAGTTAAAATTAGCCACAAAGAGTTTATAGAAAGTTTATGAGATTTCTTTCAGAAAGTTTGATAGAAAGTTTATGAGATCTCTTTCAGAAAGTTTTACAGAAAGTTGTTTTGAGATCTCTTTCAGAAAGTTTTACAGAGATGTTTGAGAAAGAAATTTTGAGATCTCTCCAGCAGTTTTGAGAAATTATTTTAGAAATTATTTTCTTTTTGAGATCTCACTCAGAATGTATTTGAGAAGTTATGTGTTAGTTATTTGTTCAGTGCATGCTTATAGCCTAAATTTATCTATTGATAAATTGGCATAGACTTCTAAATATTTTTGTGGATCCATAGTGACTTACTAAGCGTAAAGCTTATCAGTTTATTTGTTCGCATGTACAGATACTAAGGATAAGGCCAAGGCCTAGGAAGATGATGAGAGAGTGGAACGCGTGCCAAGATGAGTTAACGGGAACGACCTTGGCGGCTTTTAGCTAGTTATTATTTGTTTCAGTATTTTAGTTGTTATAATAAAGAGACTATTATACTTTATTTTATTTAAGAATTTGAAGTTTGAATAAATTCCTGGATCCAGGTGGTTATCACATTTGCTGGTGATAACTATATTTTATTGAGTTTTTATCAAGAGTTATATTTTAGTTATATTTGAGTTTTTATCAGGGTTATTTTCTTAAATAGACGGCCGTTAATTGTAGCTATTTTTTTAAGAGTAGTAAGTTAGTGTAACGATTCCTTTAACCCTGAGAGGGGCGTTACAAGTTTGGTATCAGAGCCCAGGTTGTCCCGTAACTTCATTTGTCACCGTACACGTGCTCGTCATCTTCCAAGTAAGTACTTATTTATGCTAAAAGTTATCTATGTGAAAATATTGTTAGAGATATTTTCATTGTAATTGTGATCAATGTTACTTTGCTAGTTTATAGTTAGCTAGAATAATGAATAGGCCTTTTAAGGCAATTTTGTAATAAAGGTTTTATACCTTTTTAGGTATGGGCCTCCTAGGAAAAGGAGCCCAAATGATTGTAAAACCTACCTTTCCCGTCAGGCTATATATATGCCTTAAGGGAAAGGCTAGGTTAAGCTTTTCAACATTCTAGTGCCGCAGAGCCTATTTCTGTGTAAGGTTTTTACGCTAAAAACTCTCATATCATTCTGTAAAACCTTCACATCAATGGAAAGCTTCATACACAGATCTATCTTCCATACATACATTTTATAGACTAGAAAACAGGGACCTAACATCTGGTATCAGAGAAGGAGCTGATCGATCGATTGAAAGCTGGAAAAACTCACTTGCGCGATTCTTCATCGTTGAAGTTTCGCACTTGAGCGATCTTTGGTTCTATTTTTGTTGTTGTTTTTGCAGGAAATGGCTTGAAGGAAAAGGTTTCTACTGTTGCTAGGATCATTTCTGCGAAAAATCTCGATCTGAAATTTGGCGTACAGGTTCAGCCAGATTTGAGCGATTCTGCTGTTTCGCGCAACTCGCTTGAAGAGAAGGACAGGAACACGCAACTCCACTCCTGCGCGATTTCGAGAATCACGCAACATCTCCTGCGCGATCCCCACATTCGTGCAATCCTCCCTGCGCGATTTTGGACTTGCGTTTTTTGAACTCGCCCTATTTGGAAGTTGAGAGATTTTAATAGGACTTGCGCGATCTACAAGGTTGAGCGATCTCCACTTAGCGCAACATACCTGCGCGATTTAGGACTTCAGCAATTTTGTCCTTGCGAGATTTGGCAGCAGATTGAGCGATCCCAGTTTCGCGCAAAACACCTCCTGCGCGATCCTTGGACTTGAGCGATTTGGACTTAGAATTTTTAAGTGTTGAGCGATCTTCCAACATCTGCGCGATCTCACACTTACAATTTTTCTGAACAAGAACCTTCTGCCCAAAGTACTAAGACCAACAAGACAGAATCAAATCAATCAACTGATCAGCCCGATCAATTTCAACATGGATGCTTTATCAATTGGAAATGATACAAGACCCCCGATTCTACGAAGAGGGGAGTATAATGTATGGAAGAACAGATTTTTAAATTTTCTTGAAAGTAAGGACCAATCCTCCGGTCTTCTTGATTCCATCACCAATGGACCTGCACAACTCATGATTGCTGTTGAAAGAGACAATGGGAACAATCCACCGGTTGAGATAGAATGGAGACCGAAGACTGTTGACGAATATGATGATGAGGATAGAGCAAGACTCCGGGCAGATCTCATTGCCAAGACCTATCTGTTGCAAGCCATCCCGAACGACATCTACATGCAGATTGACAGCATGTCAACTGCAAAAGAGATGTGGGATGAGATCTTCAAGATCATGCAAGGCACGGAGATCGGAGTAAAGGCGAAGAAAGCAAGCACATTCACTGCTTATGACTCATTCAAAGCCAAGCTTGGAGAATCACTCGAAGATACCTACTTGAGGTTTCTGCAGCTTATAAACGAAATGAGGAAGATTAATGTGCATAAGTCGAACATGGAGTTGAATGTGAGATTCCTTTCTGCACTTGGAGCTGACTGGAGAAAGCTGACTTCGCAGATCAGGCACACAAAGGACCTTGATGAGATGGACATCCATGCCGTGTACAACACATTGAGTCAGTACACTGAAGATTTTGAAGACTTTGTTGTGACTACTGTGACAGCTGAAAGAGAAAAAGGAGCTGTGAATAAGCTTGCAGACACCCTCGCCTTAATGCTTGACAAACCATCGAAATCTGGCTCAAAGAAGGACAAAATGATTGCTGAAGAAAGTGAGAGTGCTGACAGCGACATTGGATTTTGGGATGAGACTGATGATGATGAGCTGCGCGATATGCAAAAGCAGCTAGCTCTCCTCACCTCAAAATTCAATAGTCAGCTACAGAGAAAGAGAAACCCCACTAGCAACAACAAGCTCCGCAGATCCTCTATCAGCAACAACAAAAGGAAAGAGCGTTCATTTGACTCTTCTGACAATGCAAATGCTGAGGATGGTCCCAGATGCTTCAACTGTGGGAAGACTGGACATCTACTGAAGGACTGCAGGATGCCGAAGAGGAAGAAGGATGCTGAGTACTACAAGCAGAAGATGTATCTGAACAAGAAGAAGATGTTGCTGGCTATGGAAGAAAACAAGGAAAAGAGTGCTCTCATGGCTGAAAAGGATCACTGGATGGATGATTCTGATGAGGAAGAAAATCTGGCCTTGATGGCAGTTGTTGAAGAAGAAGAGAAAGAGAAAGATGCTGAAAAGGAAGGAAAGATGAAGTCAACCCCTGCTGCTGATGAAAAGGAGAAAGACAAAGCTGAGGAGAAGAAGAACCTGCCTACTGCAACCAATGCTGATGAAATGATTGCCCTGACTGCTGAAAACAGAAATGCCGACAATGAAGTAAGTACCTCTAATTCATCTGTACATACTTGCTCTAGAACAGATATGCCTGATAAATTTAAGTAGCTTGAGGCGAATTATAAAAGGTTGTATGAGGTATATAACCAACTGCGTGAAAAACAGACATGCTCAAACATTAAGATAATCAATTCAGAGAAAACAATCACTAAGCTCACAACTGAGAATAAGCGACTTAGTGCGAGTGAGAAAGAGTTGACAGAGAAACTTAGAACAACAGAAAAGGAAAGAATTAGGCTTTTTGGTGTAAATAATTTGCTAATGGAAAGAAGGGGTGCACTTTATACTAAAATCAAAGAACTTGAGGATCTGTTAGCCAAAAGGGACCAAACAGATCAGACTATTTTCCTTAACCAGCCTAAGGACACTCGTTTCTATAATGCCAAAGAAGGCTTGGGTTTGACCAATCCTCAAAACCTGAAAAAGGTCAACTGTAGACAACTCTATGATGTTAGATACATGAAAATAGGATTGACCAAACTCATGGCCTTCACTGGTGCTGAAGAAACGAATGCCCTTGAGGATGAAAAGAGAAAGACAAAGGCTGGTGTTGAGGTTCCCTTTGACTACACAGAGTTAAACAAGAGCTACAAAACCAAAGCACTCCCTTTGACCCCTGCTGAAGAAATCTTGACCTATCCTCCTGAAAAGGAAGCTGAGAAAGACGGAGAGGAGGCTTCCACATCTGAACCGATTGAGAAACCAGCTTACATTCCACCATTGGTGAGAAAGTTTGCTGAGTTAAAAGATTCTTTTGAAAAGGAAAAGCAGATTTTAGAAAAAGAAAAGGATGAACTTTTAAAAGAAATAACCTCTTTGAAAACCGCCTCTCAGTCTAACACAGCTTCTCAATCCTCTTCCCCTTCTACATCTAAAAACTCTTCTGAAATTTCAAGCGATAGTTTTAAGACATCTTCTTCTCACCCCAAGTCTCATTCTCCGACAGGGAAAGATGTGAAGAAGAGAGTCGAGAAGAAAGGAGAGTGGATAGAAGACAAAATAAGAAGGAAGAAGAGAGAAGAAGAGTCGAGATTGAGAAATAAGTGTCAGCGGTCGAGCGCCAGTTTTTATAATAAGTCTAGTTCTAGCATTAGTGAGCCATCTACTAGTTATGCTAAGAGAGTGGCTCCTAAGTCTTCTAGTTCTAAGATCTCTGTCTCGAATCGTTGTACTAAATGTGTTTCTCTGGATTGTGTTAAATTAA